CCTGATGTACACCATTTCTAGACCCAGCCCTCCAAATCTATGTGTTCTTTTCCCTTTTCTTTTCCACCCACTTACACTGATGGCTAAGAACAGAGTGACACTGCTAGTTACCTGATGATGTTGGCAAAGTCAAAAGATGGAAGGAACCTGGGTCTCTGAAGAACCTCTTTGAAGAAAGCTACCTACCAACCTTAAACATCTGTTGGGCTTTATATGAGTAAGAAATATACTTCTGTCATATTTGTATGAGTAAGAAATACACTTCTATCATATTTCTTACTTTATATGAGTAAGAAATATATTTCTGTCATGTCCCGACCCGGGGGGACAGCTGAACGGGTTTCTTGAGTGAAGGAGTGAGAGCCAGGGCAAGCAGCGTAGTGTTACAGCACGGAGACGACAGTGTCGTCTGTTTATTGTGGGCAGCACGGTACAGCACAGAGACGACGCAGTGTCACAACTCTTAAGGGTCGCGTCGTCTACTGTGAGCAGCACGGAGACGACGCGGTATCACAGCTCTTCAGGGTCTCCCAGGTCGTCTGGAGATGATGCAGTGTCAGCTCTTCAGGATCCTCAGGGTCGTCTGGAGACTGCGCGGTGTTTCAGCTCTTCAGGCTCTTCAGTTGTCGTCTTTCTGGTCGTCGTCGTCGTCTGTCGTGGTCATCGTCGTCGTCTGGCTACTGTGGGCCAGGCATCGTGGTTATATACACTCTGGTGGGTTGTAAACGGTGGGCCCTGATTGGTTTAACTGTGGGCCCTGATTGGTTGTTAACGGTGGGTTATGATTGGTTGCTTTTGGACCAATCATGAGGTGCCGGATATGCAAATTTGAGGGATTCTAGTGGCCAATCAGAGCAAGGTTTCGAAGGTCAGGTTTTTGGAAGGGAACCAATCATGGTAACTGTTTGCTCTCTGAGAAACTTCGGCAGACTTGCTGGTGTGCAGCTTCCCACACTGTCATGTTCTGGCATTAAAGTTTTGAGGGGTGTTTACTAGAAAAACTTGTATTACAAGGCTTATATAAGACCACACCACTAGCATGTTTCAGAATTAGAATCTGAATCTAGGTCTTTTAAGTCCAAATTCTTCCCACTATAATAATCATACTGATAATTTAAAAAATGCATATGAATATAATAAATACCTTATTTTAACTCCAATTTTTTTCAAATCCTAACTTCACCATGATTTGAATTAATTGTTAGTAAGGATCCTCCTACCTCTGAAAACTCTCAGATATTTCCCTGTTGATGCTTTCGGAACTAGACTTCCATTCTCCAATTATCTGGCCGACAGTTCCTGCCCAGGTATGAAGCACAACAGGTAACATGAAGTCAGGGTTTCTCAAGTGTGTGCTGAGGAACCATTTCTGCACGATGTTAGTAGTTTTGGGGGTCCACATAAAACATATGGAAAATTCTGGATTAAACGAGGTCAAAATATGTCTTTTCCTTAGGAATATCCATCAATAGGTTAATATATCCTGAGACATTCCAAAGTACATTCTATAGCAGTCTAAAAGTCTATTTGATAATAGAACTCTGTTTCAAAGATCATCTCAAAGAAGTAGAATCTCACAGAACACATTTTGGGAAACAACAAACTGAGGTATATTGAGTTATACCTATAACTATGGGTACTTACGTTGGGTCTACCACATCTTGGAATTTAGTCCCTGTGCCAAAGGAAACTTCAGTTCTGGCTTTAGGTTTCTGTACAGAGTGCCTGTTTCTGACATCTGACAAATGATTATGCCCTGACCTTTGTTTAGTTTGTCTACAAATTCTTTATGAGGCTTTTTTCAAGACTTAGACTTGTTCTTATTCTCAGCCCAGTCAGTCTTTGTCTACCTTGTTGCTGACATATATTTACAGAACACAAATGTTTTCCCTTCATCAGTTGAGTATGCATAGTAAAATACTAGTTCTTAATTTAATTAAACATCCCAAGTAAAGGATTGGTGTGGGACAGTGTTAATGGCAAAAATAAATAGCACTTACTGACCTAGTTAAATATCAGTATCAATAAAATACCATGGAAATATCTTTTGTGGTCATTTATATTATGTGATTTCAACTAGATGCACCTAGTACTCTGACCCCTGGGTAGTGAGAAAAAATAGTTTAAATGCAAGGAAGTTAGATATTATATAAAAAATTCCATTACTGTAGGACTCACATGATTTAAAACTTTTGTAAGCAGATATTATTATTATTATTGTTATTATTTTTAATTTTGCTATAGGGCACAGGCACTCTCCAGAGAGAGACAAAGAGAAAAAGTGAGAAGGCACTCCTCATGGAGAATGGTCATGCTGAAGTCCCTTCTCCTCCATTTCTTCCTCCTTTCGAGGTTTTGGGCATGCAAGCATGCACATGCATCTGCTATGCTTCTCAAGTCACTGGGTCTGGGGCAAACCAATCATTTAATCTGTCCTTACCTATTGAAACTAAAATCTACTGAATGTTAGAAAAAGATTGTACTGAATTTATTGGAAGATGTTATGTCATTCTCCAAAATGTCATGTAGTTTTGAGGGACTTCACAGGTAATTTTGAATATATGTTATTCTTACCTTTATGTCCCAGCTTTAGAACTTTTCCTCCTCTATAAGATGTGAATCTACTTGAAGATAATGAGCATTACTGAGTGCCAACTCAGCAACTACTACTTCTTTCCTTCTAATAAAACCCTTACATGCCTAAAGGCAAGGTAGTCCTAACACCGGTTCCAGGAGGTCTTGATTTTTCTAGGCTCATCAAGGTACTCTACACTCCTTGCCAGTGACTAGTTTTGAAATTTTGGGTCAAGTAACTCAATTCTGGCCAATGAGATACACAGAAAAGTCTGTTATGGAGTTTCTGAAAACATTTCCTTGATTCTTGGAAAGGGACAGAGGGACTATCAGTCAGTGATAGTCTTCTTCCTAAGCATGTAGTTGGATCTGGATGTGATTCTAACAACCATTGCAATCTTTCTACTAGTCCTCTGAGGCTGTCAACATCAAGAGTGGAAGAAGGCAGAGAAAGATGGACCCCAGGTCCTTGAAGATATTACTCAGTTCCTGAATCAACTAAACCAGAGAGCTCTCCATTCTTCTTAGATTAGTCCCCTCAAATTACCATAATAAAATACCATAGACTGGATAGCTTAAACAGCTGAAATTTCTCAAGTCCTACTGGCTAACAAGGACAAGATCAAGGTGCTGGCTAATGTGGTTCTTGGTGAGGGCTTTCTTCCTGGCTTGCATATGACTACTTTCTTGTTATGTCTTCATAATGCTTTTTCCCAGTTTATGTGAATTAGAAATGAGAGCTCTCTCTCTCAGAGCTCTCTCTCTTTCTCTCTCCTGCTCTTCTTTTTCTTCATTTTTATAAGCTTATTAATTTTATCCATGATAGAGAATACATGAGTATGAGGGAGTGAGAAAAAGAGAGAGAAGCACCTTTGTCTAGATCTCATCATGCCATTACCCCCTTTCCCTCAGTCTGCCAGCTTGTCAGAACCTTGGGCATGCACACACACCTGTGTATTTTCAGGCCACCTGGATATCTGAACTGCGGTCAGTCATGTGGCTTCCAGCACTGTGGTTCCCTACTGACTGGCCCCCTCTTGCTCTTCCTTCTAAGGTCATCGATCCTATTGGGTGAGGATCCCATCCTTTCTTCTTTCAGTCTTAATGACTTCCAAAAGCCCTGTCTCCAAATGCAATCACATTGGTTATTTGGGCTTCAACTTATGAATTTGAAAAGGACACAATTCAGTTGATAGCAAACATGTGTCCTGATGTTGTTTAAACAGGTTTCATTTGGGTTTTCCATTACTTACAGCTGAATACACCCTAACGTAGTATATCTTATGATGCAATACATAGACGATAAAGTCTATTTCATGGCACACACGTGAGAAAATCAAGGGCTATTTTGTTTTTCTCAGAACAAAACAGTTGTAGAGTTAAAAATGGTTAGTCTATTGCTGTTACAGGGCATTTCACAACTGCTGATTGTACATATATGTGGTATCATGTTAACATAAACAGTCCAGCCCTTAGAGAGTTTTAAGTTATAAAAGAAACATTTTTCTAAGATCATGTGCTCTGATATAAAAACCATATTCCAGCCCAGTTCTATCATTATCAAGTTCTGGCAAGCCAAGAGACATTAGCTGGTGATTTTATCAAGCAAGACTTCTAACTAATGGCTTGATGAAACCATCCCTGTACCATAAATACCATAACAAATGGAAATGACAATTCCTTTCAAGGGTTTAGTCATTTTAGTCACCACAGTTTATTTCCTAAAAAGTAGTATCTCCAGGATCATCACGATCCTACAAATAAAAAGCCACTTTTACCTTTTTGAAGTTATGTTTTCCTTGTAATTCAAATCTAATTTTTAAAAATATCTTCAAGGAAAAGGTGGCGTATGGATGTCATCACATCCTAGTAAATCTCTCACAAAACATTTTACCTATCATTCCAGTTACATTGCATACAAAGTCATTTTACCATATTTTTTCTAGATGAAATGTAAATAAGCAATAAAATTATATTGAAGTGATGAATTTTCATAACATAGTAAAATTTGCCATTTACTTCTAGCCCAGGAAGTAGAGGAGCAGCACTTACCGAATGTTAAAAAGCCCAAACCAAATAAACAAAAACAAACTCCGCCAAGAAATAAATAATGAGAGATACATTTGCATATAGATAGCTCCATATTAAAGCAACAGAATATGGGCCATTTTGAAACCTTAAACCTTCTGACACTTATTTTCATGAACTCAGTAATACAAACCATGTGGTGAATGATTTTCTGAAAAACTTTGCTGGTTTCACTGTGTATTTTATTACTGGCCAAATGTGACATTAAATTTTATCCCCTGTGGCTTGGAGTTAAATGCTTGCTCTGTTCAGAATGGCAACACTCAATTAAACAGCATTTTTCATGATCTACACCCACCATTGTTACCGTATTTAAGGGAAATAATGGGGGTACTGACCTATATTGCGCTTCTTATTATCAATGGAGATGAAGCGTACGCAGGGATTAGTGGTGATGTACTGCCCAGCCCAAGGGACATCAATCTTCGTGCCAGCTTCATAAAAGAGGCCCAGAGCATAGCGAGAGGAGTAGCTCACAGACTCCAGTTGCTGCCTTTGGCATTCGCTAATTACTGTAGAAGAAAAAAATAAAGGGCATCAGACTTGAAAATATCCTTTCCTTTTAGTACATAAAATACAAAATTCCTTTAAACCAGTTCCAACTGCTTCCACCAACTCTCTCTCATTTATAACAAATTTTGAAAGATTAATGCCAAATAGCATCACCTCTAATTTCTTTTCAGAATGATTATGAATGTTGGTGCAATTTGTATCAAGCTGAAAATCCGAACTTCTTAGACTGGCATTCAAGGCTCTCACATGTCAGCCCCGAGTTGCTTTTCCAGCTTGGTGTCCTACTTACTGTCCTTAGGACTGTCTGGCCATGCTGTAGACTTTATACACTGATCACTTACTGTGAGTCAAGGTCTTTGCTAAATATTTGACAGGAGCATTTCACTCTATCATCACAACAGTCTTAGGAGGTGGAGGATTGTTACCATGTCACAGGCGAGGAGGCTGATGCTCCATCTGTTATGACTCTTAAATTCACCCGTGTCATTTAGTGATTTGTTTGTCTTTCAACAGTGGATTCTAATAGTTCCTTGAGCAATGGTACCACATCTTAGTCCTGAAGACCACTGCCCTACTCATCTGGGCACACTAAGGATGGAATTACAGTGGGCTAGATAGAAAGGCAACACAGACATGCAAAATCAAAATGTTGCAGGTTACCAGTAATAAGTGAAAAATGCCTAATAAAGGACTTGGACAGGTTTGAGTTGACATTCTGACTCTGACTAATGAGGTATGTGACATTGATCAAGCTACTGAATTACTCTGATTTTCATATGTTCCATAGGTGAACTATCTGCCTAAGTTTTCAAAATAAAACTATGGCCTTCTCTGATACCCAGACTATCAATGCCATAACATACCAGGGGTCTTCAAAAAGTTTATGAAAAATCTGAAATTAAAAGGCTAGTTTATTTTGTTGCAAAAACTTTTGTATGTGACATTGATCAAGCTACTGAATTACTCTGATTTTCATATGTTCCATAGGTGAACTATCTGCCTAAGTTTTCAAAATAAAACTATGGCCTTCTCTGATACCCAGACTATCAATGCCATAACATACCAGGGGTCTTCAAAAAGTTTATGAAAAATCTGAAATTAAAAGGCTAGTTTATTTTGTTGCAAAAATTTTTGTCTATATCTGGCAATAATAATACAGAATGCATTAATGTGTTGTGAGGATTATATGAGATAATGTATAGCACAGTGTTTAGCATATAAGCCTTCATTACATAGTAACTCTATTATACACAGGAAAATATTTAGGAAGATTAGACAAAGTTCCATCTTGAGATGGAGAAAGAAAGAGATTTCTCCCATGCTTAAATTTCTACCTCAGATCCTCATATCTTAAAAATCTAGGGGCTAGCAGATGACGTAGCAGTTACAATGCTGGTCTCCCATGTGGCCAACTACAGTTTTAATCTCAGACCTGGTGACTTGAATATTTTGCAGGGTGCATGTGCGTGCGTGCCCAAGATGCCGGGAGGAAAACGGAGAAGGGATTGCAGTATGGCCATCCTCCCTAGAGGGTGATTTCTCACTTTCTGTTTCTGTCTCTCCAACAAGTGCATGTACCCTGTAGCAAAAGTCTCTCTTAAAAAAAAATCTCGTAGCCAGCAGATGGCATAGAGGTTACGTCGCTGGACTCCCACATGGCCAACTGAAGTTAGAATCTTTGAGCTGGTGACTTGAAAATCATGCCAGCCACATGTGCGTGTATGCCCAAGATACTGGGAAGAGAATGGACAAGAAGAGATTGCGGTGTGGGCACCCCCCGCCCCAGGGTGGGGGTTATTTCTCACTTTCCCTCTCACTGTTTCTGTCTCTCTCTCCAGCAAGTGCACATGCCCTAAGGCAGAAATGTCTTTTAAAAAAAATGTCTCAGGGGGATCCAGCAGTGAGCGTAATGGCTATGTTGCTGGACTCCCACGTAGTTGACCGCGGTTCGAGTCCCGGACCCGGTGGCTTAAAACTCACGCCAGGCGCATGTGCATGTGTGCTCAAGATCCCGAGAGAAGACTGGAGGAGAAGGGATTGCGGCGTGACCATCCCCTCTGGGGGGTGATTCCTCGCTTTCTGTCTCTCTGTCTGTCTGGCGAGCGCACGCGCCCTATAGTGAAAAAATCTCTCCAAAAAAAAAAAAAAATGTCTCAGGGAATTGCTTGAGACTTTTAAGAAATCTTAAAGGGTCTTTAGAAAGTTCATGAAAAATTTCTATTATGAAAAAACTATAAATGTATATCAATTTTTTTTGCACTAAAATCAACTTATACTTTAAATTTAGATTTCCTTTTTTGAAGGCCTCTCATATGTTAAAACATTAATAGTTTAGCTTTTGGAGATGGCCATAGTTTTACTTTGAAAGCTTAGGCAGGCTAATTCAGATATGGAACATATAAAAAAGTCTCACTTAATTAGTGAAATATATCCTGATCTAAAACTGTAGGGCTAAACAACCTCAAAGGACGAGGGGAAATTTTAGCTAGATCTTAGAGATTTGACTTTATGGGTAGAGAGAAGGTGGGATGGGTATTCAATGAATTATTTGAGCATAGCAATACTCTTTACATTATTACAGCTACAAAATATTTTAAAAATTATGACCTTATTTAATCTTCACAAAAGCCTTGCCAAAACAGGTGTTTTTACCATCCTCATATTATATCCCCAGGAAGGTGTGATTCAGAGAGGTTAAGGTAACTTGTCCTAGGTTACACAGCTTCCAAGCTGTGTGGTCAAGATGAAGCCAGAGTTCCCACACTGGTGTCAAGCTTCCATCTTCATTACCCCTTACTTTCCTCCACGATCTGTAAGTCTGAGCTTCAAAATGACCTTTGGTGTTGCTCTCTCCTCTGATGCTAATGGTTACTTTGTGCTTAGTGATAAAAACTCTTGCTCCCTTTAATCACCATTTTCTGTTTTATTTAAAAACTTTTCTTAATGAATGAATGATCTTCTGACATTGGCCTTGTTACACTCAATGAACTTTGGGTTCCATTTTATTATTTATATAGCTTTTACTGTTATAACTTGATGTTATGCTTACAGATTTCTGAAAGGGAGGAGGTAAAAGATACTAATGCTAGCAGTAGAGCACATCTCACAAATTTTCCGTTTTTCAGATTTAAAAACTAACCAAACAAAACTGTGTAGTCAGCTATTTGGTAACTAAAAAGGCCTAAACGATTTTTTTAAACCAAAATTGAAAGGGTCAATTAGGTTGACAACCAAATTGAAGCTTCCCCTCTCACCACACTCGCATTTGCACATTTAGCGAGTTTTTGGACAAACTGCCATGTGGCAAATCCGCAGGTCAGTCCTTGGAAAGGAAATTGATATCTACAGAGAAACAGCCATTGACCTGAAACACCCTTGTCGGCTCCCGAGCTCTACATTTCATTCTGAGAACAGGGAGGTGAGACTTCTGACTGGAAGGATCTCAATTCCTGGATGTATTCATTTACGAAAAAGTTTACCTTCAGGAACTGAAAAATTTTTATTATTGTAATGTAGGCAGGGCCTAACAAAATGGTTTTATTTTCTTTAAAGAAATTTCTTATGCAAAATGCTAAAGGAGCTAGCCATAGGTCCCAAATGCATACACTGGGTCACCGAGAAAGTCACGACACATTTCTGCATAACACACAAAAATACATCATGCCTTTCCTGATGACCTAATAATTCAGCGAGCAAAGTAATAGGTTCTTTATTATTGTAGACCGGTGGCCATGAAAATATAAAAAAAGAACCTAATTCAAATATAGTGGATTTTGGCTTGCCTGTCATCTTCATAGACATACACATATGCACACACAATAAAAAGATATATTATCTCTGTAACTATAAATACATATATCTATGTGAGATACAGATCACAGACATAAATGCACATATGTAATATGAAATACATTGTATGAGTATCTGTAATATGAGTAAAGTGACAAAAAACACAGTGACCAGGGTAGTTTACCTTTCTACTTCTAATAATTAGCACTGTTTTTGTTATCTCCTTCTCCTTGTGCCTACGTCTCTACTGTATGTGTGTGTGAGGGAAGGGGGTGCAGAAGAAGAAAGAAAGGGAGAGGGAGAGACCAGCACTGCACTGCATTACTCAAGAATGTTTCCTAATGTAATTCTGTTAGCTTCCTAACCTGCAAAAGATGGCTAATAATACATATTCCGTCCATTTCCTATGTTTGTGGGTGACAATGCCTCCTACCCATCCATCCTTCTGTCCAACCATTGCTTGCTTTAAGCCAGGTATTCTTCTAGATGTTAGGAATGTAAGGCAGAGGGATCAAGCCCCTGCTATCATGGACTTTGTATACTTGCGGTGAAGAGACCAATTATAAACAGATAACCAGGTAATTGTTTGTCAGGTGGCAATAAGAAAAATAAAGCAAAATAAAGGGGTAGGTGTGCCATGAGGCGTTTATATAGGCCTTATTTTGCACCAGAAGAAACTCATGATTTAATTCCATTTTCCTACAAACTTTCTTGAAGTCCCCTTATAGTTATAAACTTTTCCATGTTTTCTTTCTTTTAATTTATTTATTTATTTTTGTCATTTGAATGTCCTTGCATGATTGTCTAGTCAAGTCGTTACCTATTTCTCTTTGGTGTTTTCTGCCTTATTGGTACATAGGAGTTAGTTCTTTATATACTCTGAATATAAATCTCATAGATGTATTGCAAAAACTTTCCATTGGTAGCTTTTGCCTTTTTACTCTCTTAATAATGTGATATAATGAAGAGTTTTAATTGTTTAATTTAGTTCAATTATCTTTTCTTTTTTTTCATTTATAGCTAGCATTTTTGTGCCCCTTTTAGAATTTTGTCTATTAGCCTGTTCTGAGGACATGAACACCGTCCATAGGCTGGTTTTGTTTTTGTTTTTGTTTTTCATTTTCTTTTTTTTTCCCCTGAAAGCTTTATTGATTTACCTTTCATAGGATGTTCGATATATTTTGAAGATAAGGCAATCAGAATTACTATT